GTGTTCAGTCACGTCTCACAGCCCGGCAAACTTTCGGTCCTGTCCACGAGGGGTTTTGAAAACGTTAGCAGGGAAACTGTAGCTTAGTAATAAGAGTTTTCAGCGCCCACCGAAACTGGACGAGTATCAGCTGTTTAAAAACATTTCCTGAAAAGAAAATCTTGCTCTGTTAAAACCTTTTTGGTTAATTTTTGAAAACCAGCTTTGCAGACCCTGGAAGACGCTACTCTCTTTTCCCTCCCCGCGCCCCGGAAAAGGGCCGCAGACGCCAGCGAAAGGCTGCGCAACGCTTGCAGTTTGCAACGTCTTGGGTCTGCGAGATCGCCCTTGCAAAGACATTTCAGGTTTTCCATTAGCTCTACATAAATATCACAGTAAAATGCATGTGAGACCATTAAAGTAACTCAAACTCGAGCGCAGAGCACAGCAGACTGAGCGGTTTTATTTTGGTAAACTGATTTCGTGTGTGTGTCCGCGCGTGTGTTGCTGTTTTCTTTCGGCACCTGATTTTTTCCCCCAGCGCCCGCACGCGGTTCTGGGCTACCCCGCGCGCCGTCTGCAGGCCGCGAAAACTACGGCCTCCCTCCGGGAATCCGGGGGCCGGCCGCGGGCCGCGGTGGCGGCGGCTGCAGGCGCGCGGCTCAGGTCCCCGCGGCCTGCCGGTTTCTTTGCTCATCTGTGGCGCAGCTGACCCACCGAGTCTGAGTCGGACCGGGGATTGCTGAGAGCTGCCAGGAAGTCCCCAACCCGCACCGCCCCCGGGGCTAACGCGCTAGGCAGCTCCTCCGCAGAGCTTTGCGCCTAGCAGCCCACCTGCCCCGAGGCTCCGATGGCCCCTCGTCGCCTGACCAGGGCAGGACCGCTGCAGGCCAGCTCTACCCATTGCTCTTCCCGTCCAGATCCCGCTGGCCTTGAGCCCTGCTTGCTCGCAGATTTGTCCCACCCGGGACAGGAAAAAGAAAAGAAGCTGCCTTCATTTTCTTAGCATTCAGGCGCTATTTTATAAGGGAACGCTTCCAAAATTTTCATTATGGCATTTTGCAAATATTTAGGAAAGTTGAAACAACGGTACAACGAACGTCTGTTTACCCCCCACCCCCAACAGGATGCAACAACTGTTAACATATTGCAATACTTGCTTCCTTTCCGTTCTCATAATGTGTGCGTATGTTAGCTGCATCATTTGAAAACTGCAGACACCGTGACACTTCTGTACACTTCAGCATGCATCTTCAAGGATAAGGACCTCCTTACTTTCAATACCATTCTCACAAATACAAAATAGCATCGTCCTTAACAGCGTCTAACATTCAGGATAAGGGCTCCTTTTTCTCCGGTTTCCCCACTTCAGTCTTAAAAATCAGTTTCCCTTCTTGTACTGGGTATATGTGTAAACAATTACTTCTCCCTCTGTGTTATGCCCACCAAAGGACTATAGGGCTCACCCTGTCCCGGGACCTCTCTGAGCTTGGTCGGGTGGCGAGGGCTGGGGCGTCTCGACACACAGCTACTCAAACGCGTGGGGAAAGCGCTGCACTCACGCGGTCTGAGACCCCCTGTTTCCTTTCCCAAACCATCTCAGGTACCCCCCGGAAGCACAGAGCAAGAAGCCTCGCTCAGCCAACTTGCGCCCTCCCGGCAGCTCAAAGGACACCACCAGAGGACCTGTGAGCGCGGGGTGGCGTCTGTCGCGGAAGCCTGGGGGTGCACGCTGCGCTACCTCGTGCCCTTGGCTTTGCCGTTTGCCATCCTCCGCTTTTTCTCCCCAGAGTGTGATTAATTTCACATTGTCTCTCCCTGTTCGGCTCATTGTTGGTTACTCAGGGCGTCCTGTGTCTTTTTTGGCCCTCCCCCGCCGCGGGCCAAGGCTGCGGCGTCGAGCGCCTGCACAACCCCCTTCCCCCCCCCGTCCCCTCTTCCCCTCCCCCTTTCCGCCCCCGGGCCCCGGAGCCAAGCGGGGCCACCGGGGGGCGGAGAGCGCCAGCAGCTCGTGGCCACGCCCCCGGAGCCGGCTTTTTCTAGGGCGGCTCCTGGAGCCTCTCCGCCGGCTGCGCCTCTCGCCTCCCAGGGAGCGCTCCGCGCTGGCCCCTCGCTCTGCTCCGCCTCTGCCACGCCGCTCTCCGAGCTTCGGCCGCAGCCAGCGCCTCCTCCGCGCGTCCTCCGCGCTGAGACTCCGACTCTCAGCTCTTCGTCCTTGTCTCTCCGTGCCCGGCACCTTGCGCCCTGCAACCTCGCCGTCTCCCAAGTCTCGGGTCCCGCTTCTGTCGCTGTCCGTCGATGTCCGTCTGTCTTTCGCTCGGTCTGCCTCTCCGCCTCCCCAGCCCTTCCTTCCTCCCTTTCTCCCTCGCTGGCTTGCACATTCGCTCGCTCTCGGACGCGGCGAAACAGCTTCGCAGGCAAATCCCAGAAACCTTTGCAAAAAGCTTGCAATGAAATTTAAGAAGTTCTTCGATTTCGGCGCCATTTTCGAGTCGAGCCAGAGGTGACATGCGATTTTTTAAAAAGGTCTTGGTGGCTGGCGTCTTTCCCGATTGTAGCGTGGGTTACGGCAGGCCAAAAAAAAAAAAAAAAATCTGGGAGACAACACCATAACGGAAACTCATAAATAAAGCCCCAAAACCCACGGACAGAGCACCTGGGAACAAAAAGCAGTTTATGAGTTCTGCGGCAGGCCAAAAAAAAAAAAAAAAAATCTGGTGATAATTCTGAAAAAGTGCTGTGGCGTTTTGGGGTTGTAAAGCACGTTTGGGGGCGGGGTGGGGGGTCAAAACTGACCTTTAAAGTGTTTAACAAATGAGTGCGGCCGGGAAATTCTCAGGAAACGGACTGGGGAAAAAAAACTAACATGGAGGGGCGGGGAAGGAATACTGAGTAAGGGGCAGTGACCGACTGTCAGCCTCGCGGGGGTCAGGAGCGACTGGTTTTGACATAATGTAAATGAACTTTTCCTGACTCGTATTTTCAAGCAGTAAGTTATGTCTTGGAAAGAAATGTGTGATTAATTTTACATTGTCTCTCCCGATTTAAAACTTTCAAGGTTGTTCAGTTTTCCCTGTAGGGAACTTGACATTGGGAAAGTTTGGCTAGAATGCGCCGAGGGTAGGTACGTCGTGTTTTGGGGGTGTGGGGGACGAAGGCAGATGCAAAATTAAAAGACAAAACGTTGTAAAATGTGAACAGAGGAAGAGGCGTATTCTTTGGCTCTTAAATCATTTAGCCAAACACATTGCAGTTCAGAAGGGGGTGGGGCTATGGCCACTGGAAAGTATCGATTCTTTGTCTATTGTATCAGCGAATGACCCTCTCCTGAAGTGACGAGAAGCCCCTTTGTATTCTCTTTTCGTAAGTAAATTTCAGTCTAAGGGGAACTGTGTAAACTAGGGGATCGACGTGGCTTTTTAGGGATGTAACTCGTTGTACTCGGAGAGATGAAAGGGGTAAAGGTGAAAGGTATAAATAAATTCGATTCCAGTGAGTTTCAGAGCAATCTGGAAGGGACCTTTGCCTTAGACACCGATGTTATTTTGAATGAACTTTTGTTTTTCTAAGTAGTCAACTAAAGAAATGTTAAATTAGGAGTGAATTTAATTTCTGACATGATGGTTCATATATTTATGTGGAACAAAATATTGGGAGAAAGTTGTGGAGTTTTAAATTATAATTGTACATCTGCTAAACTTGTTTTTTTTCTTTTTAAGGGCAGCCAACGACATTTTTCTCCATTAATCCCAAAGGCAATGCAAAAGTTTGTAAATATCATTGCCAAAACAAGATGGAACGTAGAGACACTTGATTGTTCCAATTCAGGGAATGGGGTTATTATCACTAATGACTTTGTTTACCATGACGTGTAGTGTATTTGTTAGCACTGATCTCAGTCTGGATGTTATTAATTTTATACTCAATCTCCTTTAATACTCTGCACATTTTATTAACTTATAGGACACTTACATTCATTGTACTAGTTTTGAAAAACCGACATAATTTGTAAATGTAACAAAATACAGTTGGATACTTTAAATGTTTATTACTTATGCTGAAATGTATTTTAACTTTCAAAACCATTACAATTAGTGGTAATTTTGTTGTTTTAGGTTTGTGATTGAGGATTTCAGAGTCGGTTTCTTTCTAATGCTTAATTGAATATTGTATTTAAACCAAAAGGGGGCATGCATGTGACTTGTTGCTAATATGTGTCCATTTTAAAAAGGAAAAAGTGGTATCTAATGAGTTAATCATTAAGGAGTATGCGCAGTGCCGGCCATTTCAGGACATGTAAGCGTTTCTGTGGAGCTGCTTGAAACAGGAAGGAGCGACTTGACATCAAGTATTTAAACTTTTTGATTTATGTTTTCATCGATGACATTGATAGGTGTAAATTATTCATGAATAAGTTTGAGTAACCAGTTTAATATGTAAATGTCCAGGTATTTCATCTACAGAAAGTTCTGACATTCTTGAAGCTCTTAAAAATAGCAGTGGTGTTTACCGTAAGAATAAAAACACTAGCAGTGAGTTAAAGAGGGCATCTAATGCTTTTAAAGATGTATATATATGTCGCAGCGATAGTATATATTAGAATCAGCTGAAGCTACCGGTGAGCTTTGGTTATTTCCTTCCAGTCATCTGCATCCATTTCCAATA